TTTTTTTGTGGGGGAGACGGGTGGGAAAGAGTCAGACAAAGTCAGGCAGCGAAGAAAAAAGGCACTATCGATCTTCCATCTACCCATCTACCTTAAATAGCAAATCTAATCTCTTTAATTCCATTGAAACCCTTAAATAGTATTACACTTCCACAATTTACTGTCTTTGGTTTAGGCACTGATTCTCGCGATAATAACCTATGCAAGACTATCATCATGCGTCAGGCTATTATTCTCACTCAAATCAGTTTATTTATATGAAGAAAACACTATGGAAGCTAATAGAGGTTTGTAAGGTGATACCTTCTAATTTGTTGTCTCTCTCCTTTTTTTTTTTTTTTTTTTTTTTTTTTTAAAAATCCCATCCTTGCCAACATATTTTGTAGTGCTATAGAAAAAGATTTCAGATAGAGCTCTACTAATTGTGATAGCCATCCCTCTATACTCATGATCTGGGGTAATGCTAAACCTGCTTTCGTCGCACCAGTTGCCCCACCGATACGTAAACTATACCCTGAATATTTCCTACTTAAGTTTGCATGTTGTGCCACCTTCTTTACTACTGCATTTACCGTGCCCGTTGACATACGTTTTCCTGTTACATTCACAAATAATCAGTCCTAGCTTTTCATTTCCCGTCTTTCACTTAAATATCTAAAAACTAATTTTACAGAGCAATAAGGAAAGTTTGTTGAGTCTACTTGGATGAATTTCCCTTTTGCAAACTGGTTAGTTTTTGATTTATTTATTCTGACCCACAACAAACCTTCCTCCATCCTAATATCAGTCACTCATAGATTGCAAAGTTCTGCAGGTCTCCTCATTGTGCAAAGTCTCAATACAATCATTGCACAATCACGTCTCCAGATCAATGTTCTGATTTAGATAATATAATTTCATGAGCCCTAGTTAGTAAAGATTCTAAAAACAGATTTTGACTGCTCAGAACTTCCAGCTTTGGTTCTTTCATGGCTCCAGTGGTAAGTTGCTTCCTGGGTTTAGCAAAAAACACTGTCTTGCTGGTGGAAGGTTTATTACTTCCTTCTGCTTTTGTAAAAGAGTTGGCCACTATGTGGCCGAGAGCCAAACTGGAATAATTATTATTGCCTCGGCTTGACATTGTCCAATATTTTCAAAAATTCTTTGTATCAACCCCAATGAGGGGCAAACATAGTTGCTTTCATACTACCAATCTTCGGTGAAACAATCTATCGTCTCTGCTTCTGGACAACAAAACCAACTATTGAAGTATGCTACTTTCCTTGTCTGATAGCTTGCCATTCTGTCTACTGTAAAGGGGCCCACTTGTTGTTTAATTCGGTGAATATGTCTTGAGCTAATTCTCAGTCTGAATTGTCGAAAAACTGGGTTAATTCGTCTGCGGGTTTAATTCTTATAGAACCCACCAAAATTCATGGATTTGTACATCATGATCGTTGCTAAAGTTCTACACCTGACGCATTATTTCTTTTTGCCATGGTTGTTTCCCCCCCGCTTCTATTGTCCTTCTTGCAACCTGATTGTCTATATATATAGTTACCCAATGGTGGGTGATTATATGTGTGAATGATTCGAGCCCCAACAATGCTGCTGTTGATTCGAGAAGAGCAATTTTTGTGTGCATATGTTGGTGTTCCCAATTTCTGAATGCTTTCATTGTGCCAAGAGTTGCAGACCAGCCTGTAGTTGATGCATTAACATAAATCTGAATGATTTGAGAAGGTTTTCAAGCAGGTCGCCCGTTCTTCTTCTTTAAGTTTTTTTGTATCTATTTGATGTCCAAAATAGCCTGTTTTGTCAACTTTATAGGTTTGTCCCATTCTCATTTCTTTCACTTTTCTGTGTCGATAATCGAATAAAACTCTAAGCAATGGGTTTTTGCATATGCAAAGGCCTGATTCAAACTCATTATCTGCTCCACGACTGATGAGAGATGCCAGGCTGTTAAGGGCTTTATTGATAGAAGACTTTGCAAGTTTGTCAGCGCAGTATTTACTTTTGAATCTGGTGTAACCACCTTGCCTGTTACTGTGTTTAGAATTAGTCCATAATATTTTGGTTCTTGGGTCGGTTCTGGATGACCTTTTTCTGCCAAAATGAATCTGCAGTTTTTTAAGTCTGGAAATATCCTTGTGTCTCTTATTTGAATTAAAGTTTCTCGACAGGGATGGGCTATCCAAATATCATCGAGATGGTTCCCACAGAAGATCCCTGAAGCTCTCCAATGACCTATCAATGGTCTTATTAATTTTGCAAAGGTCTATACAGCTAGACTCAGGCCAAATGATAAGACCCGATACTGGTACTAGCTTGTTCCAATTCTGAATCCTAATAACCTTTGCGCCTTTTGGTCCATTAGGATATGATGATTTCCTTTTTTCAAATCTAGAACTACAACCCACCAATTTTTCCCTGTCATTCGCAAAAAAGTTTTGAAGCCCTTGAATCTGAACGATTTTACAGGAAGTGTCTTGTTTAAACATCTTAGATCAATAATAAGGCACTATTTCTTTAGCCCGAGTTTTGGGATAAGGAATATTGGGCTCACTTTGAGCAATTGTGGTGGTCTGTTTGGTGAATTTGCTACTAATATTATTGCTTTTGTTTCTAACAATCTTTTTATTTCTGCATTTAACCATAGCCTCTGATCTTGTGTTAATAGATACTGATGTGAGTCTGGTTGACTTATCAAGTTTAGTAATTCTTTTGGGTACAATGGTACTCCATTTTCTAACCAGCTTAAATTAACCTTGGTGCTCTGATTTTTTTGTTCCCAATAGATTCGATGCTCTTGCCTATGCACTCGCCCTACAACTGGTATTGATTGTTGGGTCCGAGTATAGTCAATCGCATTTTTCATTACTAGGCTTTGAATACCTGTTCCTGTAGGCTGTGTAACCTCTTGATCTAAACCCAAAAATTTGCTCTTGTTGCGATGAATTTTTGTAGGGATCTGAAGAGCACATGTTGGCAAAATGTCCCGTGCCCCCACAGATATAACATTTATTTCTTGCGTCTTGGGCCCAGCTTCGGTTTTGGAAGCTTGAACGAAAAACTGGCCTTGACTATAAAAAGGGTTTTGATGCCTGCCTTGATAATTCATCTGACATTGATAATTATTTTTTCCATACCATTGGTTGATACTTTCAGCAGGATCCATCTTCTTTCTTTTATTTTTCCGAGCTTCTGCTAATGTTTTCGCCTTCTCAATTAATGCTTCCTTCCCTTTCAACAATTTGTCCTGTGTAATTGGCAGTGCAGCTGCTACATCCCAACCAAAACCTTCTGCCACCTGCAGTATAACCATTCTATCTGCCACCATTTCCCGAACACTGGTAATGTGATTTACAACGTCAGTTATGCTCTGTGATTCCATCGCCAAATTCAAATCTCTTCCGATTGCATATAAGACATCGTATTCATGCTGATCACGTGATTTTTCAAATTTATAACTTGGCCAGGCTTCTTAATTCCTACTTTATTCACCTGTGCCGCCATTGAATTTAGTTTATAGTCAAAATTGGCTATAACATTTCTCAAATTTTTAAATTCAGAAATTACTAAGCTTTCTAAAGAGTCCACATGGTTGTTGGTCATATCCTCTGGTAAGTGTCACTTATTTGCTTTTGTGATTCAATTATACAGCTGGTCCCCTATCCCTTGTGTTTGAGTGAAATCTGTTGAGATTTGTGGAATACTTTTTGAAGGTTCTGCTGAATCCTTCCTTCTGGATTTTTATACATGTTCTCTCAAGGTTTGAATCTCATTATTTTCTTCTACATCCGAGTCCATGTTATCTTGATTTACCAGGTCCAAATTTGAATCAATCTCTTCAACAAACCTATCATTTTCTCTGACATCTGGTAATTCTGAATTTCCTTCTCTCAAAGTTATTTCATTTGAATATACTCTTAATCTTTGGATTAAGTCCATTTTCACACCTTCTGTTAATAACCAAAGACTCTGACAAATGCCTTCCAAGTCACCTTTCGAAAGATTCGACTCCCCCATACTATATATTATATTCCCTATTTTCTTATTTACATTTAATTATATTTATTATGTTTATTTATGTTTATTTATTTTATGTTTATTTTATTTTTATTAATTTTTTGTTTATTTCATTAATTTCATTAATTTCATTATTTTGGAGCATATGAAAGAGCCAGACAAAGTCAGGCAGCGAAGAAAAAAGGCACTATCGATCTTCTATCTACCCATCTACCTTAAATAGCAAATCTAATCTCTTTAATCCCATTGAAACCCTTAAATAGTATTACACTTCCACAATTTACTGTCTTTGGTTTAGGTGCTGATTCTCACGATAATAACCTACGCATGACTATCATCATGCGTCAGGCTATTTTACATATGATATTATTATTTTTATACGTAGCATGCGCAAAATCTATAATCTCATATATAAAACTAACTAAAAAGGAATAGTAATTTTGGTTGCATAATGATAATACGTATGAAATTCGTCATATTATACCAGGTTTATATATTATAAATTACAAATCTATAAGAAAAAATTATTTGAATTTATAGCAGATCTGTATAGTACGGGCTGATTTATAAACTAAAAAATCTGATGACTTTATTTTGGTGTAATCGTGTTTATGTGAAGATTGCACTTGGTCATCAATAATA